TAGTTCCTGGCATAAAGTCAGATTTCAATAAACATTGATGAATGTTGTTTTTAAATAAACAGAACACCCTTAGAGACTATGTCTATTCGTATAAGTATTCCTAACTGAACTAAATTATTGATCTTAAACTTATCCTTCCTGATTCCTTCCAAATCCTTTTTCATTGTTGCTTATTTATAAAGTACACAATTAAAGGCTGGCAAATAGCTGTTGCAGATGGGGTATTGGTTGAATGCCCAAGCCAAGAGGGGAGTTTCATACCAGGTCTTATACTTCTCACACTATCATTGAATGGGGGAATCAAGAGTTGGTCTGAGCTTTTGTATTTGGTTTGTCACTTGATTCATTATTTGTCTGGAATTCTTTATAGTTGATGGAGTGAGATAAAATACTAAATGTTGACTCTTTCCTTGAAGTCCTTGAGTACAACTTCGTATACTGTAGCATTAAGTATATCAAAACAATGTAAAACCATTTAAGAGAATGACAGCATTACAGAGTATTTAGAATCGACTAACAGAAAATGAACAATGGTTTCTGTATAATCTCCTTGTCTTTAAAAGGTTTTTGCTTATACTATCGTACATAATAAAATCCAATAAGATACAACCTGTTTAGACCATTGGAGACAGAAGAACAAAAGCTAGATGAGACTTCAAAACAAGATGATACTAAATCAGTATTACCTATTAAGATGTCATTTTCTCCAAAATAGCTGTTCCTATCATCCAATCTTCTCTGTCTCATTTCTGTTGAGCTCTTTTTCTGTCAGTAGCTTCTTTTGGGTCGGAATTATCTGGTGGTGAAACAGTATTCTGCTTAAATGGTTATGTTTTGATCTGCGCTGTTTCGCTGTTATGCCCTCTTTTTTCTCAATCTCCACTCCATTATTTACTTTTTTATTTTTATCCGTTTAATTAAAGGGAAAAAAATAGCAGGATATAATATAGTAACCCACTTTGACTTTCTATTATCTCGATTTGAAGCCCTGTATTACTCTCACCATCTTGTTTTTGACTGATGTTCCCCTATTCTGTTTTGCTGGTTCGAAAGTTTAGGCATCAGCTGTGAAGATAATGAGATTCATTATAACGCCCATTCTCATTGACTTTTATCTACTTTTGAAGACCTACAATGTCTCCAATGTTTTGGTTTTATCGGTTTTGTTCTTTACTGTTTTGTTCAATTGTATTATAACTAATGATATAGGCAATTCTATTAGAGATAGCGGGAGGCATTATGGTAACCATTGTTGATCACTTTGTATTATGTTTTTATATTATCTATTATGTCCACCCTTTTGACTTGACCGATTCTGTTTTGTTATGTCTCATTTGGTTTTACTCTCTTCCAAAAAAGCAATAAGAACCGTGGGAGCAATGAAACCCAAAATGTGTAATAGTCATTGTACAAAAGAGAGGAAAAGAAAGTGCTCTAAACTATATAACTGCATGTATATTTAAGTGTATAAGATAGAAAATGATATCACAGAGTTTTATTGGATCATTGAACAGAACTGTTTGCAGTATCATTGTTGGAATGTCCACTCTACAAGCTTTAATTTTGTGACTTGAACAATTATTTCTAAGATGGCAATATGTAATCCATTAACTAATGATTTCCTACTGTTCATTTTTTTCTTCTGTAAATCTGTATAACTTGTACCCTTCCACTGTTTTTTTTTCCTTTTCTCCTTAAATAAAATAAAATAAAATAAAATAAAATAAAATAAAATAAAATAAAATACTAAATGGGAACTCTCCGTGCTGCGCTCCTGTCCTGTTCATCTTCAGGCCCTCTAGTCACACCTCTATGACATCATTCCATCTTTTTAGAGAGGAAAAGAAACAACCATCATTTGTTAAGTATCTACTAAATCAGACACTATTCTGGACAGATGACACCATTATCCCATTTAATTAATGTGGCAGCCTTAGAAAGCAAATTATTCTGTTTGTAATTGAGAGAACTGAATAACACTAGAATTAAGGAATTTTTATAATTATGTAGTTATAAGCTTCACTATTGTATACTTAACTGCTAGAGTAGTGCCTGATACATATATGTATTAGTAAGTGTTTTTAGTCGGTTCTGCTTTCAAAGCCCCAGCTCTTTTCACTATGAGTGCTGCCTCTCTGTTGTAGTCAAGGCTTGCAAAGGAATAAATGTAATACAGGACACAAATTTATAGAATTATCTTATAATATTTACTTAAAAAAAGTAAAATGCAGAAGAGTGCAAGAATCTGTCCATGTGCTAGAGACCTGAATCATTCCGCTGAGGGCCTGAATCCGATAGTTATGGTCCACACAAGCCTGGGTGAAGGCCTAGAGCCAGGCACAATGTATCATGTAAGTTTGTGTCAAGAATCTGTGCCCTAAAGGCCCAAGGGCCAGTAATGGAAACTAAAAAGTCTGCACTGGTAGGGTGAAGAATCTGTGCCAGAAAGCTGAGAGAGCTGCACTGGACCCAGAAAGAGACTCTCAAGACCCAAGTGAAGATCAGAGCTCCCCCAAGGAACAGCAGTCCCCTACAGCTACAGCGAGGACGCAAGCTCCTCCTCTGGAGAAAATGGCCAACTTGTATCAGGAAAATCAGCCAAGACAAAGTTTCTCCTGGAAAATCAGCAGCATGTAATCTTCCCCCTCATTCTCCTTTGTGCTGTTCAGCAACAATTCTCTATTGGGCCTTCCTTGACCAGAGTCATGCTCACTCAATTTTTGGGGACATTTCCACTTAAATCAACCATTAATTAATCTACCACATTCCTCAATAAATATGTTTTTGAGATGTTTGGGTGAATGTGCATGGTTTTCTTATCTGACTAATTAATATGCAAAAGTCGTTTATGTAACTATACTTATATTCAAATATTTTTTGGGACCTCCAAGTGGAGAAAGTACTCACATATTTCAAAAGCACAGAAGGTTTCAGGAGAGGCTGGTTAGAAGTCCTGTGCTTTGTTGACTACTAAAGTAAAACATTTATTCTTATGTTATATAAGAATCACTACCAGTAAAAAAAATCATCTAAGAAAACTGCAAGGGACTCCTAGGGCTATGAAAAGAGAACCACCACGATCAAGTGATCTGTGGAGAGAGGAATAGGGGAAAGTGAGGAGAGGGAAGGTGTGCCTCCCACTTGAAAAGATGTTGGGCAGTTGGCATGGGAATAGGGCAATAGGAACTAGGAAACCAAGTGAACATTTTTGTAAACTGAATACAAAGACCTAGCAGGAAGTGGTCAGATGCAAGGAAGCCACTGTAAGGCACAGGAGGAAGAATGTGGAGGAGAGAGATGCCTCTGAGCCAGGAGGGACGGAGCCTAGAGGAGGAGAGGCGACTGGATTTGAAAGCAAGGCCTGAGAAAAGTTACATGCTTGCCTGCAGTTATTGTAAGGTAAGTTGTCATTTTATCTAGTCATGTGATACCTTGTCTACAGAAGATAGTAACTAACTTGAAAGCAAAATCCTCTTTGCTGATGGAGAACTTAATTAACAGGGGAAACAGATTCTATCACCTTCCAGTTTTATACTCTTGTTTTCTTTTCCTCCTGTCTACTCCACGCCCTCACCCTCTCCTCCTTTCCTGCCTCCCGACAAGAAGCCTCGTCAACCTTCTCTCTGACACTGGGACTACTTTTTATGTCATTCTCTGCTGTCCATTCTCATGTGTCCTGCCCTCAGCTTATGTGTGTACAGTTGTTATCTGTCCCACTCAATGAGCTGTATCTAAGGTAGAAATGGGTTGTATATTGATTTTTAAAAGTGGTTGTGTAGATGAGCATGGTGGCACCCAGCCGCAATCCCAACACTTGGAAGGCTGAGGCAGAAGGACTGCCATGAGTTTGAGGCCAGTCTTGGCTACATCAGGAAGTCTGAGACCAGTCTGTACTACATAGTGAGATTCCACCTCAAAGAAATGAACAACAAAAAAGTGGTTGTGTAGATATCCCATTTGCAAATTTGTAATATATTTGTAAAGAAAATAGTCATGATGTATGTTTAGCACCAGATCTCTACCAGACAAAATGGTTCTGTTGTATTTTTTCCTCTAGCTTTTGCTTTACCCTCATTGACTCTTTTCTTTGATAGTGGGCTGTGGATAGCCAGATGCCAAAGTATCTCCTCACTAAGATTTCCTTTCAGTTTTTTAACAGAGAGTAATTAAAAATAGTATATTTACTAAGAATATTTGTAATTTAACAGTATGTAATCCAAATGAATGACTATTGGTAGATTACATTCAGATATAAGTGGGAAAGGAGATAGTTTTAAAATATTCTACATATTTAGAAAAAGTACACTACAGTGGCAACTTCTTGTGTGTAAAAGTGAAACTACTTTGAACATATGGTTTACACAAAGTACCTTGTCATATAAGAGTTTGTGTTAAATGGTTAAGATTTAACTTTGCAAATCCATCAGGTTTTATTCTTTCCTCTGTATTAAATATAAGGACATAGCATTTGTCTCCTTTCATGAAAATGTGAAAATTATCCAGAATCGTATCTATCCTTTCTCTTCGTATCTAATCATCTGATAGAGATAAAGCTGAAGTTGAAATAAAAAGATATTTTAAAATTAATATTTTCCTTGTACTAAATCTTGTAAATCACCCTCATTCTCATAGTGGTAACTTAATAGCCTTATGGTAGATGTTTTGGTTTTCACTTTATGCTGTTTAAGATTTTGTCTATAGAGCGTGTCTCTCACTTAACAAATTTTATCTATATAAACCTCTAAGGTGAAAGTGTCCGAAAACTCACATGATGGCACCCGAATGTGTTTCATGATTCATTTGACTCCCTTCATTCTTTGATGTTAGTGATATATGAAAAAAGACAGCAGATGAGTCCTCATGTATTGCGTTTAGGAACTCAAGAACATTGACTATATAAAGTGATGACAGTAATCCAATGAGATGATACACCTTTACTGTAGATAGGTGTGAATTCTGCAAATAATCACCCATGGTGAGCAAGCTAACAAGGAGTTCACAGTCACCACAAAGTTTGTGAATGCTTACAGCAAACCAATTGCATTTATTTTGTACTAAGCAAAGCAGAAAAAAACCTCTATAGTCTAGTTACTTCCTCTTTTGAAAAACCAAAAAGGTAGCAAACATAGTTGATAAGAGAGAAATAAATTGTGGTCAAGCTTGCAATAAGTCCCGGGGATGGACAGTCTCTCTTGGGTCTGATCTGTGGTTCCTCAGGAAGAGGGGTTGGTGTAGAAAGAAGCCACTTGATGAAGACATCTAACTTGGTGGCCCTGAGGAAAAATCTCCACTTTTCTCCATGAACAAAAGTTAGCTTGATCCATGTACCAAAGTCTGGGTAAGTATTAATACTTGACTTTGCTTTTTTAAGGCTTCTATGTGCTTTTTTTGGGTGACTTTTCCTTAACGTTTTTATTTTTGGGGAGATTTTATTTTCTTTAAGATGATCAGTGGGCTCTGGATAACTAGACATTTTTCCTGGTTCTGCTGTAGAGATTTCAGAGTCCACAGAGGCTGTGGTGTTCTTCAGAATTTCTGGTTGTACAAATTTGTGAAGCAGTTCTATGATTTCTTTAGCCTTTTCTCTTTCCAGAACTTCTAAACAATATATACTGGCACAAGAATTCTGGTTTTCCAGTTCTGTTACCTTGTTCTTTAAAATATTCATGTCTTCCTTCATAGGGAGGATATCCTTGGTAGATGTGAATTGTTTGTCTTCATTAACATCCATTTTGGTTTCTAGGTTCTCTGTCTGTTTCTCGCAATGGTTGTTCTTTTCCTGGACTTTTGATACTGCATTGACAATGTCAGTCATTTTGCTGAGGAGTTCAATTTGAGTAGCTTTAATATCTTGGAGCATTACTGTAAGATTCATTTCTTTATCTGAACCTATGCCATCTTGGTCACAATCATAAGTCCTTGATGAATCTCTGATGGTTGAATTCAAGTGCTGGATCTTACATTTTTGGTAAACATTTTTAAGAGATTTCCTGATCTTGCAAAGATTTGAAGGCCACATATATCCAACAGCAGTTTTTACCCTTTTGGTGTGAAATTTGTCCATCTTTCATTGTGGAGTAAGAGGCAGGGTGTTGAGAAGTGTGACTGCAATTAAGGAAGAGCCAATGTCAGGATGAAACGGCGTTTCTCTTACAGTTTGCTGGATTTCTTTCTGGGTAACATAGCAGAATACCTGAGGGAGAACAACAAATTCAGCAACAGTCACTCTTGGTGGTAACTTCTTCCAAGACAGACTGAGACCTCTGTGAAACCATGGTCAATTGCAGGGACTCCTTTCCATAATAATCACTGACATCATGGTGATGTCACAATGGCTGCTGGCTTAGAACATCATGGCAGTTCTCAAGCCTTTTGTCATGGGACACTTTTTTCACTTGTAAAAATTATTGAATTCCAGAAATCTTTTGCTTACATGAGCTGCATCTATTACGATTACATATTGGAAATTAAAACTAAGAAAATCATTAAGATATTTATTTCTTATATAAATAAAAACCCATTACTTGTTAACATAAGTGACATTTTATGAAAAATAATGCTATTTTTATGGAAAAATAATGACAAGAGTAGCTTATTCTTTCACATATCTTCAAATGTTTAAAATACATGAACTCCAAAAAGATATAGTCTCATACCTGTTTCTGCATTTGTAGTATGTTGTTTTAGCTGAAGTATATGAAGAAAATATGGCATTATGGAGATATGTAAATAGGGAAAAGTATTTCACTAGTTTTTCACATAAATTGGGATGTTATTTATTGTTGTTTCACCAAAATTTGACAAATGACAACTTTTTAGAAATAATGCATAATGTATAATCTTAGGCCAGGTCATTGAACATTCATACTGTTACTTCATTGGCCCATCTTTTCGTTTTGAATGGATGTATAATAACATGCACTGATCACTGGGAAAATAATGGTTCACTGCATTGTGTGGATCTTCTAAACACTGATTCATTTTATTATAAAATATCAACCTGTCATATTCATTAATCTCACTACCAGTTTCACAAGAAAGTCTTTGCATGTTAGTAGGGTTCAAGCTGAAAGAGGTAACATTTTTTTTTCTTCAAAATTCTAATTTTAGTTTAAAAGCTTGAAACTTTTCAACAAGTTTTCAAGGTTAGTGTTTTTGTTAAAATATTGTGTCTACATTCAGCTTTTTGTTCTAAAAGTGCTTGTTAAACACCTAAACACAAATATCCTTGTTTGTTGTCAGTTATTTTTTTCAAGTATATAAATGGTGTTCTAGAAAAAAAGTAGCTAGCTCTATTTGTAAGCTCTGTACAACAACCATTTTACTTTGGTTGAGCAGCAGAAGCATTTTGTGTATATATTATATCACATATAATCCTAAAAAGATGTTTAAAGTCTTTATCAAGAGTATTCTTGAGTGAAGTATGTTTTTTTTGGTACTCTCTCACCCCCCCCCCCGTGATTGTTTATGTCTATCTGTTCCCCCTGAATTTCTGTACTCATAGATGGGGCTTTTAGGAGGTGATTTGACCATGACATTCATCATCAGTACTCTGAAAAGTTTATTACTAAATGTTACGTTTGGAGATGAAACACGGTCAACAGGAGGTAGGTCACTGTGGTGTGACCAGAAAGGATAAATCTCTCCTCTTGTCTTGATCTCCCTCTTTCTTGTCTACAATGCTATCCATGCAATAGAGACAGCCAACTCTGATCTGAAGTTTCTATAAACTGTGAGAAAAAAATCAACTTTTCCTGTTTAAATTGTGGGTACTGAGTATCATATCTCAGTGATGAGAAAGTAAGACAGATATTGGTGCCGGAGAAGAGAAGTCATTGTGTTGGGACCATGTAGCTTAGAAACCATTAGAAGTGGTTTTGGGGAGGAGTTTGGAAAGGTTTGAGACACTGAATGGAGAAGTAACTCTAGAATGCTGTAAGCTGAACTTGGTGGGAGATTATGGACAAAACTTAGAACACCAGAATGCAATTTAAAGTCAGACAGTAAAGATCAGACTGAGCTTTCAGTTGGAAATGAAGACTCGGTTGGTTGTTGGACTCCAGTCCTGTATGTTTATGTTCTGCTACAAAATTTGTTTATATTTTGCTTAAAATCCTGAGACTTTGTGGGATGGCTGAGATTAACAGTGGTGGCTTGACTAATCTGGTGGAAGAAATTTCAAGGCAACCAAATAGTCAACCTGTGGCTTGGATACTGTTGGCACTGTTTAATCATTTTGGTTTTGAGAGTTAATTAAGAGCAAGAGGTGCAGCTGAATGGTTAAAAATTTTTGAATTTAACTAGAAAGGAAGCATCGGTAAAGTCGGATCCCACAAAGACAAAGTAGACCAGAACTTTGTTGTTAAAGAGTCATATTATTAAAGATGAAGATAAGTAGTAAAAAGAAGCCAAGCCAGTGATATAGCTCAGCAGCACAGTCCCTGCCTGGCAAGTTCAAGGTTGTGAGTTTGATTTCTGGCACAAAACAAAACAAAAATCAAACAAAACTACAATAAAAAGCCAAGTATTTTGAGTCTGGATAGTGTAAAGGATTATTTGAGGGTATGGGAGGAGTGTGAAAGGCTCTATTCTTCACAGATCTGAGGTAAAAACGTCGAAAACTTTGCTTTGAGAAGAGAGCCCCAGCACACCATGTTTCAGAATGGAAACAGCCTAGGTAATGAGAATTGGTTCCCCAGGATTTAGTTTACCCTGCTTAATCATCCAGGCACTCAGAGTCCTCTACAAGTATTAGCAAGAGGCATAAAGGCTTGGCTACTGCTGAAACTGGGGACAGACCTCGGCGTCATGCATGCTGCACTGATTTTACACACATATAGAATGTAAGGACTGTGGGATCAGGGAAGCTTCTACTCACAGTTCAGAAGAAAGCCTGGGAAGCCAGAAAATGTGTTCTAAGAGATCAGTGTGCAAAGCTGTAAGTTAGAAGCTAAAAGTGCTGTGGAGACCCCAGAAAGTTGAAGAAACCAGGCACATGAATCATCTGAGGAAAGCTGCAAGCAGTGAGCAAAGCTGGCCTAAGAGACAAATCATGAGGGCTGCACCTACCAGCAGTGCTGCAGGATGCGGCTGCTCAAGCCCTTTGGAGATCACATCTTGCCACAATTTGTTCAAGGTGTTGAATATGGAACTATGGGATTTAATGGTTGCTTTATTGGATTTTTGGTCTTGCTTTGGTCTCATTCCTGCCTGTCCACTATTTTTCTGTTTTGGAATAGGGATGTTTACCCTGTGCCTTTATATATTAGCAGGGTGTATGGTAGTAAAGAAAATAGTTTGTGTTAAATCTTGGAAGACACTTTAAACTTGGACATTTTAGCAACACTGCAACTTAGGATTTTGGTGACTCTTAGAGATGGACTAGGTTCATTTTTCATAAAGTGGTACATATGAGCCTTTTTGGGGCTGGGGCAGGAATATCTGTTTTAGTTGCTTTCTTTTTCCCGTGGTATTTCCTCTGATTTAATGATGGTGTCACTATTGGTAAGGTGTGTTGCCACTGCTTTGGTTTGTGCTAAGGTATCATAAGTTTTATTCACCACTGGTATTGCAATGCAATTTTCAAATGCAAATTAAAAAGGCAAATAGGAACCTAGTATTATTTTAAAATATCTTTGCCCAAAAGGTCCACTATATGCCACCCTTTGAGAACCAGAGTTTAAAAATAACATACATCATATATTTCTTGCATGTCATCTTTTTTTTTTTTTGATACCAAGAATTGAACTTGCACTTGCCAAGCAGGTACTGTGCTGCTGCTGTCTTGTGTGTCTCATGGGCTTGAAAAAACAGCTCATGAAATCCAAATCTTTTGAAATACTAAATAATATTTTTCATTTTTATTTACTGAGACAAATTTTAATTTTATTCTTTGAACACATAAGACTGAGTATTTTAGAATTCAAATGACATGCTAGCCATGACAGAGCATCCCATTTTATTCAAGAGAATTTTTGTTGCCTTTGGGTTCAATCCATTTTCAACATTATACTAAAGCACCATTTCTGCTATCAGTGCCAACATTACAGGGTCAGTTTTGGCCTGCTCCAAATTAAGCCAAAAGTAATTTAAGGATTTTGGCACATCAACAATGACTGGGATTCTGATTTACTCCCCAATCTTTGAAAGTCTATTTAGTAACCTCTCCAAAAATGTCTAGAAACATTTCCAAGCTGTTGCTGAGGAAAACTGCTCTCCAGGAGGCAGGCTACTACTGGGCTGATACTTGGGACCAGAAAAAGGCTGCATTCAGAGTTGTCTCATTTATTTTAGTCAAGGGCATTTTATCCATCAGGGTTCTAATGGGCACAATTCTTAGGGCCTATGAAGTTCTTGAAGAAAAACACTCAAGACTGGAAAGGGGGAATAGTGGGCTCAGAATACTAAAAGAAAGTTGCAAGATCAAAACAATAAATGTTTAATTAAATGTCTATAAATTATACTATATCATCTTCATTACTTGGTAAATTTAGTATTATTAATATTTCATCACATTTGAAATTGTAGAAATTTTGTAGATTAGGTATTCTTGCTTTATAAGAATTCTTAAATTAGAGAGATTATTTGTAGTTACTACTCCCTCAGAGTTGATAACAGTCAAGTCTTACTAGGTGTCTACCAGATACTATTACAAATGTTGCCTTATTTAACCCAAAGTTCAGGTATAGCAAATAACTTTTCTAAGGGAACACAGCTAAAAATTTGGAAAAAACAGTTTTCATATTCTTACATTCTGTTTCTGAAGTCCAGTTATTTTGCCCCTAATACTACACAATTGTGATGAAAAAAATGTCACATCTTGGGAATAAATGGAATTTTTTTATTCTTTTAAAATTGCACTATTTTTTATAAAAGATTTCTTTTTATTAACAATTTGCTAATATGAAAAACTAAAGTTTTAGCTAGTTTTCATTTAGCAAAGCTATTTGAGGCAGAGCTTTGCAAAAACTTTGGAAGTTGAACTAGCCCTAGTTCACAAATAACAAGGAACATTAAAAATGTATTCTGCGTGTATGTGGAGTATACTAGGGATTGAAACAAAGGCCTTTGCACTGAGCTACATTCCCAGCCCTTTTTCATTTGATCTTCTAAATGTAAAACATGCTTTCTCAGTCACTAAGTTGCCCAGGCATGGCTTAAACTTGTTTTCCTCCTGCTTCAGCTTCCCAGAGGGCTGAGACTACAATTGTGTGCAACACCTAGTTCATAGGTTAACTGGAACCTACTGGAAGACTTTTATGGAGGAAAATTATCCTCCAGTATGATAGCTTTAAGGGG